ATAACAGTTCATTTTTCATAATTATGAGGACAGAGCAGATGATGATGAGAGATGCAAGTATAAAACACCATGCACAAGGCTAGATGTTAACATAGCACAGTATTTCTGGCAATTGACCAACTGACCATTTCACACGAACTTTTATCGCTGGATAATTTTGCGAGTTTTTATCCAATTCAATCATATATATGCTCAAAATCTTCGCAGTAAGTTTCTCTTTACCATAAAATTTGACCGAATAAGTTTCAAAACAATGCGACGGCAAAGAATGCAAAAATCCTGATTTTCGTAATAGAATCTATAGTCTTTTTGCCCTGTTGTACCGCCATCTTGGATTTATCATGTAGGCCCCGCCTGCGCTAGGTATGCGTTAGCAATCTAGATCTCCTATATCTATGGTCAGAACAAGTTCAGAACAGTCATGTGACTGTCTTCTGTTCCATTCCATTAGAATTTTCATTAGTGTTTCGAAAATCCGGAGTACTCCGAACAGTAAATGGAGCTGCTTGCTGACTACCCCGACTTTCGAGTAGGGGCATCCAGAACAGACACGTGACACTGCCTATTTTCACGTGATTGGAAATGGAGGAGAGATATTTTGTGTATCCAATGCACACTGCGTAAACAGTAGCGTACCAGCCCGACGATTTAGTCCCGCTATGCAAATATTTTCGTGTTCATTGACTGTGAAAACAATCAATTTCTAAAGAAATGAATAATGATAATGAATTTGCATAGCGGGACTAAATTGTCGGGCTAGCTACGCCACTGTGCGTAGGCCGTAGAGCGTTATTTTGAAGTGTTATTAACCGCTATAGTTCGACATATGCTTATTTTATGCTTTAGTACGCGAATAACTAATTAATATAGTAATGCATGGTTGCACGCATATATAATAAACACTGTTCCAGAACTCCGTGTGCACGCAATTTTTATATCGCATTTTATATCGTTCCAGAAGAGTGTTCCAAATGTTCTAGAACAGTAAATGGAGCAGCCTGCTATAGGCAGGTTTCTTCTCCTTCGCTTTCCTGTACAAATAGAGACCTTTGTTATCAGGGAAAGCCTGGGCCACCTGTGAATTGAACTGAAGTAAAACATGTAAAAATGTTCACATAATAGACACTTCCCGAATTTGCTTGAGTGCACACGAAACAATAGCTTGGAATCGAGGCGGACAATGTAATCCATTGGAAAACTATACTTATTTCAATTACATTGTCCGCCTCGATTCCAAGCTATTGTTTCGTGTGCACTCAAGCAAATTCGGGAAGTGTCTATTTGACTCGAAAAATAAACATAATAGGCTAAGGAAGCCAGATCACTGAGCAGCCAGATGGATAGATAGTTATAGACAGGTAGATAGATAGATAGATAGATGACTTACCCATGACTTATGCATATTATTTTCTTCACCATTATTGAAGTTAAGAGACAATTTCTTCCAGGAAAATTCGCTTTTTAATGTGTTTGTCATTTTTACATGCTGTTGCGTAGCCAGAATTCCATTGATTGTTGACTGACGACATGCAACTGTCGTTATTGACGCAGTAAATCACGTGTGCACAAGCAGTGAAGCGGATTAGTGGTAATCAGTAAAACCGAGGAAAACAAACATAAAATTTGTGGTAAGGTAAACAGTTGCATTCAATCTGTAAACACAAAATAAAAGGAAGAATTTATTAAGTCCTTTTCCTATTATAAGCCCTCTTTTCCTTCTCTTTTACAAACCATTGTGGAGGTTTTTCAGCAATGGTTGAAGTAACGACACCAAGATTACTCACCGAAATTCCCGCCAGATATGCGAACAACACTTTTGAGTTGTGGTTTATGCATGTCCCTCTTTCTTTTCTGATTGGTTAAAGCATGCAGAGCGTGTTCACCTGTTTTGCATACCTAATCAGGTATCGCAAACATTGAATACCTGACGTTTGTTAAAGTAAATTGGCTACAATATTAACTACAAATTGGATACAATATTAACTGCATTTTCAAGCCTATTAATAGAAAATGAAGATGAGAAAAGGTTGCATAGATATCAGCGTGTAAATATATCTGAAATATTGAGCCGGTGACTATAAATTATGCAACACATGAATCACCTGTGTATATTATGCAATTAGTTGACCTGCACGGAAGCGAACGTAAAGCCTCATTAATATCATTATCGCGACTTAACCTACGCAAAATTGGTGATTCTTATTCAGGATGCTGATCCACTTTTTTCGTGTTGGCCATATGATAATTATGTTTGTGATGTTACTCTGAGTGTATATCCACACCGGGCAAGCTTGAGAAATATGCCTAGCCACGGTGGGAATCGGCGAACTTACGACCTTTGGAATACTAGCCCAATGCTCTGCCAACTGAGCAACGCCGTCAGGTCGATTCGAGTATGTGATATTTCGGAACTGAGTCTAGTTCCTTCGATATCAATGCAATCTAGTAATCATGATATATTTTTTTTCTGTGCTGGTGTTGTGTACTCAGGTGAATATAATGTTTGTGATGTTACTCTTAGTGTATATCCACACCGGGCGAGCTTGAAAAATATGCCCGGCCACGGTGGGAATCGAACCTACGACCTTTGGAATACTAGCCCAATGCTCTGCCAACTGAGCTACGCGGTCAGGACGGTTCGAGTAAGTGATATTTCGGAACAGAATCCAGCTCCTTCGATACCAATGTAATCTAGTGACATGATTTTTTTCTGTGCTGGTGTTGTGTACTCAGGTGAATATAATGTTTGTGATGTTACTCTTAGTGTATATCCACACCGGGCGAGCTTGAAAAATATGCCCGGCCACGGTGGGAATCGAACCTACGACCTTTGGAATACTAGCCCAATGCTCTGCCAACTGAGCTACGCGGTCAGGACGGTTCGAGTAATAGTATTCCAAAGGTCGTAGGTTCGATTCCCACCGTGGCCGGGCATATTTTTCAAGCTCGCCCGGTGTGGATATACACTCAGAGTAACATCACAAACATGATAATTATTTGTCTGCATGAATAGCATGATGTCTTTAATATTTCTATAGCTATTGTGGAATATAGCGCACGGAATTGTTTGAATGCAGTTGTAAACACTGAATTATTTGCATACAGTTTTAAATTATCATGTAAAATACTGCATGTTCAGTACTGTATAGCTACATTGCTACGCGGTAAAGCAAGGCGAAACGGATGACGACATGGTCAGTGTGAATCTTACGTACTCTTCTTCATTTATATATCAATTGTAAATTGCTGCTTTTGACGAGTCAGTGCATGGAAGAGAGCAATGTTGAAGCCCGATTGAACGTCCTCCTGAACACATTTGGGCATCTTTTCCAATCATTTTATCAGCTAATTGTTTTAACAGCAACCTGCACCCACAGTTCCTTACCACGACCCTACAATGTTCTGTGAGTTTCTTCGTACACGGCGAGGTGGATTTTAACTCCTACGTCTTTTAGTTTTTATCTACATGCACTGTTTACTTGTTTAGAAATTATTGTCAATCATTTGAATATGCTCGCCTTTGCAAATCCCACATGCGTCTTTATTAAAAGAGTATGCTTTGTTTCGATATGCTATACATGCATGCATCTCCATGATTTAGGAATTTTTAATCATTGAATTTGTAATGCTTTGGTCGTTTCCTATGATTTACGTACTTTCACTATGATCTGATCTAAAACTCCACACGAGTCAGAACACGAGTGAACACAAGTGAACACGATTGAACACGATTGAACACGAGTGAACACGAGTGAACACGAATGGAACACGAATGAATACGAATGGAACACGAGTGAACACGAGTGAACAGGAGTGAACACGAATGGAACACGAGTGAATCCACAATATACTTGGAAGATGACGTACTCGGGCTCTGTGCACGAGATTGTGACTGATTAAATATGCTCCCATTATGCTTTGCACGCTTAGAGTTTAAGGTTTAAGGTCTAGATTTCAAGGTTTGCAATGGAGAAATTTTTTGAATTAGCTGTAGTTTATTTCTTTAATGAAATGCAATAGGCATTCTTTTCATGTTGTTTTTTGCTCCGGGCCGTAGTGAGGGACGGTTGGGGTTGGTTTAACCTGTCACCCCCCCCCCCCGCCAACATTTTTAGAATTATTAGGAAAATCAGGTTGGCCATTCGGAAAATTACGGCAATAATAGTATAACAAAATTTTAGTTGTTAAACAGAGAAAATATTATAGAATTGTATTGTCAGTATAAACTGATTGAATTATGGCATTTACATGCATAACAATTTACAAATCGTAAATCGGTGAATTTTTTTTCGGTTTATCACTTCTGTAATATGTCTATGCGTAAAAATATCAATACTGGTGTATTTTTGTTTGTATTTGGTCAATAATTCACTCGATCAATTGTCTCAATTATGATACATTAATATTCCTTCTGGTGCGTCTAATAAAAAACGGCTTTAATATTTATAATTTATTGCGTCTTCATTTTCCGAATAGCAAACATCTTCGGGGCGTCGTATGCAACTGAAAGATTCGAAACTATTTTCGTCTTTCGGAAATTTTTTCCCGAGATCCCCCCCCCCCCACACACACACTATACATGCTAGCTACGGCCCTGTGGTCGCTTCATATTTTAGAACTTCCAATTGGAGTGCCAGGACACTTACTATATTAATATTATATTAATATTAAGACACGTTCAGGGGCGTAACTCCTGGGGCAATTTTAACGACACCCTCGTCGGGCAAAAAAATGTAATTTAACAAATAATTTTTTGAAAAGTGACAATTGTACGATAAATTTAGCTAAATTTATGAAAATATTACTGAAACTTGCCTCGGAAAATTGTACAAATTTCGGTAAGTTAGTGAAAAATGGTATGTCCGAAAATGTTTTCTCCCTAACCCCCCCCCGAACCCCGCCTCCCCCCCCCCAGCCGTACTACCCTGGACACGTTAACGAGTTTTTTTTTCAACTGATGTTTGATACAGTTCAAATTTGGAAAATAAACCATTGTGTAGTTTATAGTTAATTGTGATATTTCCAATTTCCCTGTGCACCCTAAAAAGCTTGCACGGAATTGGGAAGTCGTATCAACCGGGTGTGGGAACTACAGCGCCTACCAACATTAACTGACAAAAATACGTATGGGTTATCACAAGAAATCTGTTTTGAATTGCCATCCCCACCCCCCGCATATCCTTTTGCAGTCCACTCTCAACAGCTTGCTACTGCACTGCCATGCATAACATCACAATTTACTTTGTTCGTAGTGTGCGTATTATTGGCATATTAATAAGTCGTATATTTAGGGTTATTAGTCGTTTAAGACTTGTACTGTATTCGTGTTCACTCCTGTTCCATTCGTGTTCACTCGTGTTCCATTCGTGTTCACCCGTGTTCCATTCGTGTTCACTCGTGTTCCATTCGTGTTCACTCGTGTTCACTTGTGTTCACTCGTGTTCTAACTCGTGTGGAGTTTTAGATCAGATCCTTTAAATATGTGCAGGATTTTGGCACAAGTTTGGTCTTTTGCTAAGATACTATTCTTATACATATTGGCTATTGCGCATGAAAGTGATGAAATGTTGTTTTTTATGGACAAACAAATTGACTCAGTATGCAGTATATCAAGTCATAGCATGCAAATTGCAATTGTTCTACAGTACAGGGTGTATAAAAAAAAACGCAACCTCGGAATTTCCCAAGAAATCGACATTGTTTTAAAGATAAAAGATTTTAGGCGCCTAGGGAATTTAAAATAGCATAACTGTCAAAATTACTGCACACGCGAGTGCATAAAGCAAAATTTATGCATTTATTTAATGCACAACAACAGTAATATGATCTATTAGCAATTCGATTTCAATTCCCAGGGGCCTAAAATCTTTTATGCTTAAGAATTGTAAAGTGATTTCTTAGGAAATTCCGAGGTTGCGTTTTTTTTATACACCCTGTATATCACAATATGTGTAGATTAACATGTGTTGAGTACAGGGTGTCCCCCAAAAAAGTAACACTATAGAAATTATCTCATTGTTCTTAAGCCGCTCCTAAACGCGCGTGATTACACCCCTGGGAATTTAATGAACTTGTACCCTGTACAATGTGTCCCAAAAAAGGCTACCCTTTGAAGTCTAGCCTGCGAACAGGCTCTCAAGCTGAATTGAGAGCCTGCATCGATGACTAATGAATTTGAATATCTGCGTCTCAAATCGTGACGCGAAATTCTCATTGGTCAGATGCTATAATTTATATGTTTCCCCTGAGCTCTATATATGTCAACTGAAGCACTATGCATAAAAAAACACATTAACTGATCAAATTGGTCTTGGCCGTCTTATCTCAAAGCACGAAATGTTCTGTTTTGAGAAAACAGTATTTAAAACATTTGAACTTTTGTTTGAATGATCGTGACTAAAACACCACACGAGTACATACGAGTAACATACGAGTAACACACAAGTACATACGAGTACATACGAGTAACATACGAGTACATACGAGTAACATACGAGTACATACGAGTAACACACGAGTAACATACAAGTACACACGAGTAACATACGAGTACACACGAGTAACATACGAGTAAATACGAGTACATACGAGTACATACGAGTAAAATACGAGTATACATACGAGTAAAATACGAGAATTAGCACGCTTTCTTTAAAGTTTCTTTCACTTTCA